ACGGGTGGATCCCCAGCAACCAACCGGATTTTTGGCAAAGCAGGTTCACTCCTGCCACAAAATAAATTATTTTTATATGGTCAATTATATATATATTTTATTTATTAATTTTATTTTATATGTGTATATTTTATTTTAATTCTGTTATGAATTTAGGAAAAAAAAACTCGGCTTAATTTAGCTAGAAGTTTCGAGAAAAGAAGTATTTCGCAATAATATTAGGAATAATCATTTACATCAGAGCAAATAAAATAAAAGAAAGACCACTCAATACCTTTGATCGTTTTAATGGAATTATTTATTTATATATTATAAATTTTTACATAAATTTATTTAAAGTTCTATTTGAATGCAGGGAAAGAGAAAGAAAAAAAACTTAGTGCTTGCAAAAGAAGTTTCGAGAAAGAAGAAAATGTTTTGCAATAATAGCTTCGAAGTAATCAATTAGGATCGGAGCAAAAAAATAACCACTCAGCAACAAATAATAATAATTCGTAGAATCGTAGATGATAAATAATAATTGATAAATTATAAGATAATAATACCATGTATCTGACCCTTTCACCATAGAGTCTTGGGGATAGAGTTACAGGTGGGTCTCCAACAGCCACCCGGACTTTTTGACATAATAGCAGATCTACTCCCGCCAAAGACAAAAAAAAATTAAAAGTTCAAGAAAATTTAGCTGAATTGTTATCAGAAATAATTTTCAAGTAAAACAAAATAAATCGAGAACAATTTCTTAAAAACGACCGCTCGCCAAACAAAAAAAATTTTTTCTCCAAATATTGAAAAATATTGATTTTGACGCAAATATATTGAATATTGAATGGCCAATATAATAAAGATAAAATAATAATATCGTAAATGGCAGAGCAACTTCGAAAATCGACCACTCGCGATAATTGCAATTATTTCATTTTAACTGGACTGATACGGTGAGAAAAGATTCTGAACGTATAGATGGACCAGCAATATATGGACTTAGACGATGGAAAAAGGAATGGCTTCCATTACTGTCGACGATGGCATCAGACCGCACCGCTTGGAAGCGTCTTACCCTTGTAACCGTTGGAGCCAGCCTAACCAGTAATGGTGGGAGCTTTAGAAGAAGAAGATAATAATAATACCATGTAACATGATAATAGAGCGATAATTTTAATTTTATTAATTAATGAGCAAAGCACCTTTTCGATACAACCGCTCATAGAGCATTCCAACAGGTTAACTTTTTTTTTCACCCAAAAATTTCATATTGTAAAGCAGGGATCGAACCTGAACCACCCGTGTGGCAGGCGAGCATTCCATCACTGGACCATCACACCCAGATCTATTGTATGTCTGGGTGTGCAGGACGTCCCTATAACTAAAAAAACTCATAAAGCTCAAATGAGAACTTTACGTGCACCTGTTTGTAATTAATCTGATAATCATATCAACAAATTACCAATCCAATGCGATATCAGTTATTCAATGCATGGCATTAATCACTAATTCGCAATCAATCTAAAACTGAAACCTCTCACCATAGTCATTTGGGGATAGAGATACAGGTGCACCCCCAGCAGCTATTCGAATTTTTGACATCATGATAGATTTAATCCTGTCAAGAAGAGATGAATTTAAATTTAAAAAAAAGAGAAATTTAAAGATAATTTTAGAAAAAATTGAAAAAAAACCTTATTTGATTCGCAGATTGAGCGATAGAAGTGCAATATTACATAATAATAGTAGAAAATAAATAAATTATGAAGCAATAATACAATAAATATAATCAAGTAATAAAATGATAGCCTCTGTTAATTTATATTGATTAATGAGCAGAATACCTTTCCGGCACAACCGCTCATAGAACAAACACTTCACAACTCAGACTTGAGTTAATTAAATCAGACAGTTCGACAGTTTTTTCTGATATTCCATTAGCGCACTTCCTAATATGTAGTAGTCCTATCGTAAAAGTGGTTGCCTTTCGGAGACATTCCTCTAGTTGGGAATAGTATTTATCTGCTATTCCAAAGAAGTCATTGATAATTATACCATTAAGATATTTCAATAATTCAGTTTGAAAATGTTCTCAATGTTTCTGAATTTTTTAGTTTGAGATAGTTGAAAGATCTTGGGGGACGCTGCTTCTCTCGAGTTGTCAATTTTTCGCGGATCTTGGCGTGGAGCATAACATTGCCAGACCCATGAAGATTAAAGTGGAAAAATTTAAAAAATTAGAAAATTGAAAAAAGTCGAATTTAAGAAGAGAAAAAAAAAAATTTACCGCCTGAGATTTCGAAACGAAGCAATAATCGATACTCAGTAATCACCAATAATAATAATAATTCCCTATATCTTAGTAGAGCAGTTGGAAGAACCAACCACTCACTAATTACAGACTTTATTATTGCAACTATTTGCACCACAAGATGATCTCAATAGAATTTCTAACTGGTTAAATGAAAAGGGAATTATCCTTTCCATTCAGAGTATAGCGTATTCCATGTAAAATCGAAGAATCTGATTCCCCTAATCTTCTTAATGGTAACGGTAATAAGACGAGTCCTGAATATTTCAGATCTTACCACAGTTGTGGACGAAAATCTTGATTTCGACCTTCGACTGCAGAGTCATAGCAAAGCAATCCTCAAGAATATCGGAATTTATTTTTCGGTCGTTTAAAAACAAATCGAAGCTTTCTTACAAAAATATATAAAGCATTCGACCTTTTCTTGAATATAACATAACCTATTATTCCCTTAGATTCCCTTATTCCCTTAGATAATCCCTACCAAGTAATTCCAAAAATACTTTGAATAACTCCAAAAATGTCGTTTCTCACCAGATAGCAACCTCAATTAGAAAGTAAAACTTCAGCAATATCTGGATTTACCCTCAATTCGTCGAATTAAGTAAGATTTAACTTATTTATATAAAATTTATATAAAATTCTAGATGATTATCAAATTAGATTGTTCAAAATATAAGTTAAATTCCAATCTATTCCAATCCAACAAGATCTAATGGGCCAAAACTATTAAAACCTAGGTTAAATCCAATTTCGTAGACAGCAGTTTTTCCTCCCATTTTTAAAATTTTAGTGCCAATTTTAAATGATAAAAATTATATTTCATTTATTGATAAAATTTCTAGTAAAATATTAAAATGTATCAATTCCATAATAACTTTTAAATGCAAATTCATTGATATATGATTTCTTTCGGATTAGTACATACCTTTTTTTCTTAAGAATCTTTTTAAGGTGGACCACATATTTTCAATGTTCTGAGCGTGCACATTAGTATCTTCAAAATTAACAAAGTTTTGCTGATGTTTTTGGATATATCCATGTCGGTTTGGATTTTTGTATCCACGCCATCCATCAATATATATCGCAGAATTGGGAGATACATATGAGAGAGAAGGGTCCAATTCATTTTTATTTGGTACGGAGACAATAAAGAACTCTTTAGTCAGCCGAGATATTCCACCAAGCCATTGGGCTGGAATGAGTCTTCCTTTGTTATATTTTTTTCTTTGTTATAACAGTTTCATCAATTTCAATGATATCGTTGCATCCGCCAATAAGAGATGTCGTAGTTCTAAATTCTTGTAAAATTGACCAGATTTTTAAATTGAAGTTGAGATTGTGTTCTCACATAATTCCTAATTCTTTTTTCGGATGAGCAATGTTTTCGGATGATATTGCTCCACAGATATAAATAAAGGATGAATTGTTTCAGAATTATTTTAATATCCTCAAGGAAACTACCAGTTCAAATGCTTACAGATCTGTTGCATCCTTTTTTGTAACATCGCCATTTTAAATTATCAGTTGATGTTTGTTGAGCCAATTTCATTTAACAACTCGGACAAAGTCTCATAGAATAAATGATTCCATGGTTCATCGAAAATTCAATTGTCAATAGTATTAAGATTAATCAGGAGAGATAACAAAGAAAAATATTGTCATTTTAAAGGATGGATGAAAAAATTTATTTAATAGGGAATTGTTTTGAAAAAAGAAACAAAAAGTATTTATGGGAAAATATTTTGGCTGGAAAATTTGGCGGTAAAAATTTTCGTCTACGAAATTAGATTTAACCAAAACCTAAATGCAAAATTAAACTAAGGTCACACGACTTTTTTATTCGCACCATCAATTACTGGAATAAGCTGCCGAATGACGCAATTCACGCATCATATTTAGCTATTTTAAAAAAAAAGATTAACTTGGGAGACGTTGTTTCTTGCGAGATGTGAATTTTACGAAGATCTTGACACAAACCATGACATGGTCAGATCCATGAAGGCTGGCTGTTTCAGCACAGCAGTAGGAACGGCTACCTGGTACGGAAATATTCCAATGATGATTGATTAGGACATATTTGGCTACCAAAGAATAAGATGAACCAGCTCGATGGAAAACACAAGGGAAAAAACAAAATCCATGGCACATACATCTAAGTCCTGTTAGTCATCAGATGGCACAATTGGTCATATGAGATGGTCAAATGAAGACACGAAGGATACCGCTGAAAAAGCCAGGAAACTCCTCACAATGTATGAAAATTTTGATCCGAAATCAAGCACCAAAAGATTGTACACCGGAAAGAAGGAAGGGAACTTGTGAGGGCCAAAATTGGAAATGTTTTGAGGTATACTATAAAAAAACCAAAAAAAAGCAAAAATTATTGGTGATGGCAATACCTAGTGGTAGAAACATTAGGAAAGAGAGAATAGAAGACAGAGGAATGCCAGAGGCTGGAAGAGGAACTATAGAAGATATAGAAAGTGAAGTCCAAAGTATTCTTAGAAAGTGCCTTCAACTGTCAGATTCCTGGTAGAAGTCTAGGACGACACACACCACTCAGGTATCGAGATTTCATTAAAAAATGATATTAAGAGGTATCAAAGAGATTCAGTTCGACGAACTGATACTTTGAAGGCATCATAGCGGGTTTTTTAAGAATTTTAATGAGATTTTGCTTAAGCTAATATGACAATATGACGTGAAAGAATATTAAAGAATTTCAATACAATAGATTATGCAGGCAAAATAATGAATATTCATAACCAAATTGAAAATGTACAACTGTATATTAGGACCATAGCAAAATCTCATAGTTAAAACAATATAAAGAAAAATGTTTAGAATGATACTACGCGATTTTAAAAAATAAGTATGGTATAAACGGATATCAGAGAGTATAAAAGGATATTAAAGAATCATCTTGTTGATATTATTGTAATGATTTATGGTACAACGGGATATAAAAGGATTTTCAAGAGATATTAAGATAAAAAAAATATGGAGTATTAATAGGCCGAAGGGCCCTTTCCTTGAGAAAATATGTCATTTTTTCGATAAATTTAGCTTTTTCTTATTTTCTTCCTTTTCTTTCGTGGTGTTTCATTGAACTCAATTTGTCGATTAACCAAACGATAATTTAATTTTGCATATCTTTCAATATAATTTTTATATTTTCTTTGCAAACCTTCAGCGTTCATATATCGCAATTTACCAAATATTTTCCGTTCCTGTAGACATTTTCTGTATACAGATCAATGATGTTCTGCATACCTTTTGGTTTGAAAAGATGAAGTTCGAAAATAATGAGAAACATATGTCATTTATGTCATGAACAATGATCAATGGAACTTTAACCTTTTGAGCATTTAAAAAGGGAATTTTTTATGGAAGCTACTAATAAAGATTTTTAACATAATTATTTAATAGTGGACTTAATAACAGTTTAGCTAAAAGGCTCATAATCTGCTTTCATTCATAACACCAATTTGAAATTCAAAAATTACCGCATGTGCACGATCATGAAGGCCGAAACACCATAAAATACGAGCATAACCAATAGGATCATTACCATCCAATTCATATTTATCATTCTGTTCCAGTAGAAAATTAAAAGCATGTTGAAAATTAGGAGTCCATTCTATTACTCTCTTTGCCCAATACATACGCAAATACCTATGCATCTGCAGAAATTTATATTATACAAACCAAAACTTACCACTTATTTCAAAGAAGTAAGAGAAAAACCTTATGAATCTAAGCAGCCAAATTTTTAGTGCAAAAATTTCTAAAAAAAATTCTCACAACATTGGTTTGAACCATCTCAATCTGCGCTGCATTCCAATATATATCATGAGTCTGTCCTTGTTCTAACTCTTCATATGTATATAGATGTTCTCGTTTGTCTTTTGCATGTTTGATCATAGTTTCCTTGGCCCATTTAGGCAAACAATCCAGCTATAAATTTTGGAAATAACGAGTCGCATATTACCGAAATAAATGAAATTGGAAAAATTTTCTAGAAAATGAATATATCATAGATAACTTACTTTGTCATAATTATCAGATGCATAATAAACGAAATTATGCGACAATTCTCTTTGAATAAGCAGTTCTTCGAAATATGCATCTATAAAAATAAATTCGATTAGAATTAGATATAACTGATCAGAATTAAACGACAATGAAATTAAACAAAATAATATTTAAATTATAAAATTCTCTAGAAAAACAGCATGAAGAACTTCAAAACAACTTTTGCAAGGAACATCAACATCTGATTTATTCATTTTACGCATCACTTCCATCGGACTTATCATACCATAATGCAAATATGGCAAAAGTAAGCTTTGATTATCCGTTGGTACATTTCTGCAACTTTTACTATACAACAGTAAAATAAATGGTATAAATGGGACATATATTTCCCTCATTATTATTATATTTATGAAAAATATACCATCCACTCTTTCTTAAAAGAAATGGCGATTCATGGATTTATTTTTTTTACCACAAATTCATTTTGAATAAATTCTAAATATCCAGTGAATATCTAATGCTGTAAAAAAAGAGTTAATAAACCGTTTAATGTCATATTCATCCATTTTTTTCGATACAAAATCATTTAGGACTTTTAACGCTTCATTTTCCCCTCCAATCAACTTAGTGCTCGAATCCCTTTCTTTCAATGCTTTTGTTAACTCAGTCGACAAATCCATTTGATTAAGCCTCATATCAATAACACTGGAAAAGAATTATTAAATCTTAATTAAATAGGATATAAAAGAATACATAAATCGGGTATATAATAAGTGCAACAGCTGCCTACTTAATCGAGCATTTTGTATATAGACAAAGATGAAAATTAAGGAAAATTGAGAAATAGACCAGCCTTTTCAAGTCTTTGCACTCAACAATAATTTTATCATCAAATTCTTCTTTCAGCATGGTACTGACATGTTGCCAAACTTTTGGCCGAAAGGTACGTGCTCCCACTTCCACTGAATTACTTGCCAACTAAAAAAAAGTAGCCAAGTTTTATATTATTTTATTAGTATTCACCATTTATTTTTGAAGTTTTCTACTGCTTTTTGACATATCATTCTTTTTATTTTAGTTATTGTCATAACATTTTATTGATTTTACAAACAGCCATATTCATATATTTTCAGCAGAAATAGCATAACCTTTCAAAAAGTTTCCGTGATTCTTAACTTTTTGTTTTGTTTTTTGGAGCCTTTTTTTGCGCCATTTAAATTTTTTTCATTTTGATTTGGCGTTCAAATTTTTGAAAAGATAATTTCGTTGGTCTAATTCTTTAAATTTAAAAAATATTCCCTTCTCTTACAAATACAAAGAAATGTGTATCTAAATTTTGCTTAGATAGAAAAAAAATGGTTTCTATTAATTTCAGATTAAATATAAAAGCAAAGGCTTGAAAATGCCTCTTGCAACCAGTACAGCTAGTCTAATCAATAATTTTTTTTTTGTTTAAGACTCCTCATCATTACTGGTTAAACTCGCTCCACTGGCTTGTTGCATTGAGCAATATGCAGGAAGTCCCTTGGCGATAGAAATACAGGTGAGTTGCCAGCATCACCCGGATTTTTATATAGGCTTACTCCTGCGAGAATCGAACCTCAGATCGGCACTTCAAACTGAGCAACAAGCCACTAAGCAATTCTATCCCCAGTCTAATCAATAATACGAGCTGATGAAAGAAATTTTATTCTATTTTATAAACTTAACTTCAAGTAAAAGTAAAAAAGTGATTATTTAGAAAATCAAATGAAAAAATGTGAAAAATTACCGTGACAGGAACAATCAGATTCCCTTCAATACAAGTAAAACGCCGACTACAATCAATTAAATTATCATTGAGCTTTTTCTCAAATAAACGTTCATTTCGTAGATAACCAGCATCAATAATAATTTCGCAAGCAGATTTACTGAGTTCCGTTGCAATTTCAATAGCTAATTTATCGTTTATTTTCAGACAAATTAATGGAATGCCGAGTAAATTAAGCCGATTCTTCACTTCAATAAGACCCTCCAGCAAAAATACTCTTTGTGCTTTATTATGATTTTCTGGAAAAAGAAATTATAAAGCATTATTATATTCTATATTTTAGAACTAAAAAAATACACGCTTTATTTATAAAGAAAACTGCAAAATAAAATTGTAATAAAATAAAAATAAAAAATATAAAACAATATTCACTTATATATAAATTTTTATATAAATAAAACGCCATAGAAATCATAGCAACTATCTACACTTAAACTGAAAATAGTGTGGACACCTGTCGCAAATCTTCCTGATTCAAAACTCCTAATTGCAAATGTTTTGCATGACTCGAGAAGTTAAGCCGCGCTTTCTCGAATGGACAAGTCAAAATAACTCTGTTAATAACCAGATGGCCTTGGCTTCCTGCCATCGGTAATCTATCGTTAAACCATTCATCCTTAAGTATATAGCGCAACTATCGGCAAAAGGCAGTTTTATCCTGGCTACTAAAATTTTATACAGCAGAATGGGTTATAAACACTCAAGATATATAAACTAGTGAAAAGTATAGAAGCACACAGCTTGAATGCGCTGATGATATCGTCGAAAGTCGGCTTTTCGATTAAATAAAACAGATTTTCCTTCTTATATACTTATAAAATCGCATTCTATATAAAACAAATCAAGAAATACGAAACTCCAAATATCCTGCACCTACTGTCATGCGCAACGGTTGAGCGATGAAATCCCAGCTCGAATACTCATATTCCTTCACCTGGCAAAGCCTCCTTGAAATCGCGGCCTCGAGACAAAATCACTCATCTTCTTGGCTGTACTGCGCATAATCTTATTATATAGCTACAAAATATTACCAGTGAGAGTGAAAGGAATTACCATAAAACTATCTAATCTCGATCGCCTACGATCTAACATCGCACCTACTCTCCGAGCGGATAATGTCTCACATAATTGCGTCCACCTTCGCCCTAAAACCACTTAGTAAGATTATCAATGCTTTTGTCACAAGGCGTTTGGTTAGGTTCAATCACGCATTCATATAAACTACGTGTAATGAAATTTATTGTAAATTCCATAATTTAAATAATTTGAATTTAAATAAAATACAGAAAAAAGCAAATAAATCAAAAAATTCAAACCTGGGCAATAGAAAAAAGCGCAAATGAGAGGAATTTTAAGTAAATTTGCCTCTTCAATAGAAAACTGCAATGAAGGCGAATCGTTCGTTCGTATACAACGCATTATATATAAAATATATTTACCATTATTAAATACACATTGTTTATTTAACTGATGAATTCGACATGAATTTCTCATATCCTTCAAAATCATTCTTAAATTAATTATTACAAATCAATAAAATTAATTTTTGCATAAAATAATTAAAAAATTGAAAATAAAATTTAAATTTTTTAAAAAATCAATCTATTTTAAATTTAAATCCATCAGACGAAGAATAAATATTCGATCTGCAAAATGTTCATTGGAAGATTGGTCGTAAATATATATTCCATTAACCACGCCCATAGTTTACAAATCATTTGATTCAGTGGTACTATTCAGTGTGCAAAGAAATAAGTAGGGATGCCAAAAAAACATATTTGCAGTCGGTATAAAAGATTCCATTGAAGATTTTATTTTTTTTATTTTGCAGTGGCATAAAAACTTTCATGCCAGGAACTTTACAAGTAACTTACTATGGCCAAGCGAATGGCGAAATCTGCTAGCTAGAAATGCTTTCGTCCATCTGGCGAAGCTTTCGCGGAATTAGCTTCAAAACAAAAGTTTGCATCCATCTGACTGGGTTCTAACGAGTCCAAGCCTACTGTGTGGCTGCGAAACATGGCAAATGAAAGTGGAAGACCTCAGGAAACTAGCAAAACCGGTGCGTTAAATTTTAGATATCACTTTTATCACCATTCCTCCTTACAGCTTTATAAACGGTAATTTTTTTGAGTTTGTAGAGGAAAAAATTATGCGAACAAGGAAAAAAAGTCTATGTTCTATTCTTTGGGTCTACTTATAATTTAGGAATAATAAAATAGAAGGTATTAGCAATTATAGACTTATAGGAATATTCTTCTCTGGGCATAGTGCCCCCTAGAAAACATGGTGCACTTGGGCAGAAAGCTTACAGTGCAGGTATTCATGCCGGCCCTGAGGTACATCTTGCATGCTCGCCAAAACCTCATATGAATGTACCGGTCTTCGCTCTAATGACAAATGTTTAGGGCCATTGCCAATCTCTGGAACTTACGCATATTTTGTCAAATATCTTATGGAGGGAGCCATAAAGCCCAATTAAGATTTGGACTAATATAACCAAGAAAAAATTCGAATATAGGCGAGTTCAGCTATGAAAGACTTCCAACAGAAAGACTTATTAAGACTTACGAGATTTGAATCCACTGAGTGGAGATAAGTCGAAGTCGAATGAAGGTGAGCTCGTGAAAGAAGTTGAGCCAAGAAGCCACGAACCTCTTTCTTGCTTCTTGCTTGATTTACACAGCTATAGAAAACCTCTGATTTGTGAGGGCGACCACCTTGGATTCTTTCATTCAATTGGTTCTTTAATTAGGATTTAGCCTAAGCAGTTTCGTTTTAGAACGGAAATTTTGGCTGTAAAAAAATTACAAAAATGGTCACAAATAATATTTTTTTACAAGGAGTTGTATAAGATTTGCCAAAATCCAAACATCTGTAACGATAAAATTTACAATATAAATTAAAATTTCAAAAAGTAGTTGAGATGATACTTCAGAAGTATCCTGAAATCAACCAGAGATGATGCAAGCTGCAAAATTGATAAGGCCTTAGGGGAAGGGCTTGCGGGGTTTTGAAGGTATTCAGGTGACACATTCTAGGATGATTCTCACCAAATATAATAAGTTTTTGGGAGTAATATTAAAGGCTTCAATATGGCAAGTTGAGATTTTGTAGGTAATTATAATAGGTTTTTAGGGGATGTTAGAGGGCACAGGGGGGTTCCACGGGGTTCAAATAACTAGCGTTACTATCGTATTTTTGCAAAAGGTTAAAGAATACCTATTTTGCAAATTACACAAGATTCTGAAATCAAACGATGCCTACGGTATCGTAATGGTTCGACAAATGACCAGGGCCGCAATTTTTCCTCTTTCATTACTGTACTCTACCGTACTTCTCCTTTTATCTAAACATCAGCTCATACGAATTTTTTTGTGGATTTTATTCCATAGAAAAAATTAACTTTCGGACTGAAAAGTTATGTTCATTTAAAATGAGTTATTTAGAGGATGCTAAAACAAAAAAATTCATTGTTTTTTTCTCAATTTTTGCGAAGACTCTAATGATTAAAATTATCTGCATTTTAGTGGTGCCTTTTGTAGAGCGGCGTTAGCTTCAATATTAGCTTGAAGTTGTGTTGAGTCCTTCTTAATAAGGTGGATTCTGGTTCTTAGTGGTACTTTTATTTTAGTGCTCCTCAAATTTATGATACAGTAGTCGGAAGGTGGATAATTACCAGGCTGCAGGTTTAAATTCTTCTCTATCGCCTATTGCTTTGTTCTTCGTCTCAGCTAGCGCTTTGTTCACTTCAACGGTAAAAAATATAGTAATTTAGATGATGAATGATGTTAAAGATGTTCGCGTAAAAGAAAGTGGTCATCGCGGCCAAGTCGAAGAGGGAATGCTTATTGTCGAAGGCGATGGCGATGTTGCGGATGATCATTGGGTTTTAGATGATCGTATGAAACGAATGATTATGGATTTACAAAGGCATTGGTTGACAGACTATCAGCAGAGTCGAGAAAAACTTCTCGTTGAAATGACCGAACGTGTTTGTTTTTAATTTCATTTTTAATTTATTTTTCAATTCTTTTTTCTTCGAAGAGCACTCACCCAGTTGGCGCGTCAACCAAACAAATCTTACGAGGGGAATCACTTGTTGATAGAAGCACCAGAGATAAATCACCAGCATTAGTCGGAAAGGCACTCGTTCATTCTTTCATCAGAAATGCGAGCAATGAGAAACCTACTTGGCTATTTCGCTCTTCAGTTGAACTTTGCGAATGATTTTTTTTGAAGGTTTTTTTGCTGGCCAAACGGCTACCGATTCCTTAGATCTGTGGAAGTCCTTAGTCCTTTGAGTAAAAACTATGAAGTCATAAGAATAAGAACTGTGAAGCTTATATGTTTTGTATATCTTGTCTACAATAACTATTCTTTTTTCTTTTGGGATGAAACATGAAACATAAACCTGTAATTTAAGCCTTATAGAATCCTATGACTGATATTTTATAGTTACACCAAGAATTTCTCTCGGATCAACAAAAAATTAGGACTGAATTATTAACACAATTCAAGGACGAACTCGATGCTACAAGGTTTATTATTTTCAAGCTTCGAATTTTTGAAATTTTTTAAGATTTTTTTAAATACTTCAATCTATTTTTAGTATAAGCTGTTTTTAGCATAAATTTATTATTAATTTATTGCATTCATAGGTAAAATATAAATTATCTCGTGAATATTACATTTCAGAACAGAACTGGAAGAAAAATATAGAGAATCGCTGAAAAATGAATTGGCTAAGGCTGCCGAAAAACATAGAAAAGAAATATCAAGCTGTAAAAAAAAACAGTGGTTCGTTTTTTTGTCGATTTTACTGATTATTTTTTATTATCGAAATTACCAAATATTTGTTATTCCTATCTTTCTTTGTTTATTTATTTGTTATTCATATATTTTGTTTATTTACAATGATTTTGGAATTGTTGCTAATCATTTATTGTAATTTTGAAACAAATTCAAAAAAATTTATTGTCGTTAACGATCAACCAAAATCTATCCTTTTTACATTAATAATAAATTTAATTATAAATTTTAGGTGTTGGCAGTGCGAAGCAGAAGCGATTTATCATTGCTGTTGGAATACAGCATATTGTAGTGTTGAATGCCAACAGAATCATTGGTCAACTCACCGTAAATATTGTAGGCGAAAGAAACAACAGAGCTCATCGGCCACTGTTACAGCGAATCAACCTAAAACTGAATAGTCTAATTTCGTTCCTTTTTTTTTATTCGTTTCGTTATATTTTTATTTCATTTTGTTTTCTTATCATTTCTTATCATTTCTGCAGTCTTTTCATTTATCATTTATCATTTAAAACTCAGAAGTTAGAATATTAAACAATTTTGACCCTTGAACCTTATGATTGCTTTTCTTTTTAGTAAAAAGAAGGAACTCATTCAGTTGGCTACTATTTTTGCACCTCATGAATTGTTCATACAAATAAAATATATATATTATTTTGTAATCATTTATAAAATTTTTATCCAGAAACTTTTATCAGAAAAATTATATATAAGTATTTAGATAAAAATTAAAAATTCATTAAATAATTATTGTAATGATTTGTAAATTTCATGAAAAAATTACAAGAACTAAATACCATTAAAAGAAAATATCATTTTTCTATCATTTTTCTTTTTATGTTTAATTTCGTATAACCATTGTAACTAATTGTACTATTATTTTATAAATTTTATTTACTTTTATTTATTTTCTATAATTTTTTTTTACTAGTTTCTAATAGTTTCAATCTGCATTTTTCAATCTTTGAGCCTCTTTTACATGAGAATGCTTGGGTTTTTTTGGATTTTTTCCATCTTTTTATTTTTTCTTATTTATGATATTTTAATGATTCAGAGGCTGGTAAACTGGAAAGAATGGAGGAGAAAAAAATCACCGGTCGATTCATTTTCTTAGCAAAATATTTTTTTCTGCTTCTCAGAGATCTACAAAATTAGCGGTTAAACAAATATTTTTTCATAGAATTTATAGGATTTTAGTTAAATTTTAAATTTTATTTAATTGTACTCTTCAAATCAAAGCATTTATGTCATTTATTCATTTCAGTATTCATTAATTATTTATCACTAGTTCGTTAAAATTGTTTTTTGGCTAAATTATCCTCAAATATTGGTGGAATGAAAATTTAATATTTTATGACGAAAATAATAGATCTTTCAGATTCAATTATTTTTTATTAAATTTGACTACATTTCTAACCTCAAATTTGGATAATTAGACCAAGGCTAAGGGGAAAGAAATTATACGCTTCCGGAAGCCAAATTTTTGCTCAAATTTTTAAATTTTCAGAGAAAATTTTTAGAAATTTTAATTTGAAAATAAGTTTTACAAAAAATTTTTCAAGGAGTATTATTAATTTTTCTTTTTATGATTAATTTCATATAAGTATTGTAACCATTTCTTTTTACAATTTTTATTTACTTTTATTTTTGTAATTTTTTTAATGTCCAATGTTTCATTTGATTTGATATTAAAGTCAAGGAACGTAAAGAAAATTTAATCCATTGTTCGATGAGAAAATAGGTTTTTATGTCTTTTATTTGTTTATATTTTATTTTATTTTGAAAATAACAATTTTTTATTTAATTTGATTTTTATTATAAAATATATAGGTAACTGTCTGCCATTTCTGCATTTTCTACCTTTTATTTGACGGACATTTATTTAACATTTTGACATTTTTATAAGAAATTCTTGATCGAATATATAAAATTCTTGAAGTCACTGATCATACTATTTTTATATTATTTTGATAATATAAATTGATAAATATAAATAAAAAACATAAATAAATTGATAAAAAAATAAAAATCATATAAACAAATTTTGACAAATTTTTAATATAATATGAATTTTTCAGTTATTATATTAATTATTCAATGATCATGGAATATGGCAGTGAGATATAAAAAGATGCGAATCTAAATAAATTCGGCTTGATGGCAAATACAGATTCAAATGCAGCGAATTGTTCGATGGCACTTATTGATGAGGTTTGATGTGGAAAAAAATTGAATTTTTTACCCTAATGAATTGTTTGCATGCATATGAGAAGCGTTTTGCCCTTAAATATGTTTGTCTGCTAATAAATTATTGTATAAATATTAGTTTAGAAGCACAAATGGTATTGTTAGTGGTACTTCGCATACAACTGCTTTTGATTTTAAGCAGACTAATCCGTTTCTATTTTCTATTTCTTATTTAAATATTCGAACGAATTGTTTCCTTTTAATTTAAATGTGTCAATGAAATTCTCAATCAAATTTCACTTTTTTTAGAAATATTTAAATTATTAGACTGATTAATTATTCTGTAATTTACAAGGAATAATTTCGCTTACTTTGTTTATTTCTTTTTGTAATTTTCTTATTTAGCTTTTTAGTTTTTTTATTCCCTTTTTTTCACAATTTAATTTTTTAGTGAATATTAAAAGACGACGAATATAAGCCTAATTAATGAAGCCAAAGGCATATAACCAGTTTCCTTAATTTTTTTGAAGATGGGTGATGGGAGAAATAAATTCATCTGTCATGTTTGTTTGAAATAAATCGCAATATTATTAATGGGTGTTTTTCATTAGACAGAGACACTTTTAGCAATCGAATTTTGCCGAACAAAATGGTATTATTGCTTTGGAATTTGATGGATCGCGACGATTAGTGTTGCCCAACAAGAGTCACAAAAGTTTTGAAAGGTTCTAATTTTAAATTTATTCATTTTTATAGTGAATAATAAAGGTCAAGCAGGATATATATGTGACTGAATTTATTACAGTTATCATACAGTAACTAGAACAATAAGAAAACGGTTATTGCTTTGTTAGATTAAATTTCGACCTGTCCTTTAGCTGTTGTGGTGCGGTAGTTTATAATCAGGTCAGTAGATCTAGTAGATTGCGTGTGATTTCTCGCTGAGATTATAGTACTTGCTGCGATCTAGTTCAATGTAGCCATATAAAATTTTGCATATTAAATTTTGCATTTTCAAATCTTGCTTAATCATTCTCAATCTTGATGTGTACAAGTTGTTAATTATAGTCAATTTTCCATCTAGACATTACTTCAAAGGAAAAGATTTGTAATTGTAAACTGCTAGTACGATGGCTCTCCTACATAAATTATTTTGCATTTTGTCAAACGACGACAGCAAAAATAAATGTACTGGAAATAGAATTCGAACTATCAGTTAATTTATCATTTATTGCGATGAATCTACATAGGTCAGCGAATAAAGAATAAAGCGAGAATTTAAGGCCTGGCTATCAATTTAGAGAGTCAATGGTTTATCATCAAGAGGATAGCCAACAAGGAGAGATAAGAAGGTACTGAGAAGAGATCGACTGTGGATCAGTTCAGTAATAATAAGATGACGGCACCGACAGATAAGTGACATTTGGACAAGAAAGAAGAGGTGAAGTAGTTAATATGGACGACGACAACCTTTGGTGACTCGAAGAAGGAAAAAAAGCGCCACAGGCGGATCATAACTAAATTAGAAGGCGTTTTGACTTTGATATAGCTTTTTTCTTTTTTATTCGGTGATATTGACGTTCATATTCACAATATTTCTTCTGGCTGTTCTGCTTTTTTCACGCTAAATTCCTATCTTCCTTATTGTCCTGTTTCCGATAATTTATCCTTATCACCGTTAAGCTTTCCTTTCGAATAGTGCATTGTGAGGGCATAAACAATTTTGGGCGATATAAAAAGGATGCAATTAGATATGAAATAGTAAAGCAGCAGAAAGAGGTTTAAAGTGATATTACCACTAAAGTTTCAACGAAGAAGTGTAATGGTGTTCCGGAGGTGTTATAAAAATATTTTGATTGTTTCAAAACGCTTTGCGTAGAGTACAAGTGGCACTAAAAGAATTTCGAAGGAATTTCGCAATAACCGCTCAGTTAGTCTAATGAGAGTATAACAAGTTCCAAGGAAGTTGTTAAGGGCTAAGAGGACTTTAAATATTTTCAGATACTAATTAGGATAAAGGAAAACCTATGGACATGAAGTGGAATCTAAATGTAGATGACCGGATTCAGGGGATATAGCGTCATTTACAGATATTGGAAGGAATTTTGATTTTGATAAAATTAGGCAGATTTTTAAGGTTATTCTTCATTTTTAGATAGGTAAGCAAGGCATTAACGGCAAATTGAAAAAAGTTTGATACTTTCTTTGTCATTTAACATTGCTCGAAATTAATCCCATTTTTTTAAACTTCTCTTCGAATCTTTATAATCCTCCCTTAAAACCACTTAATTCATGAGAATTTTAGGATTTTATTGTATAATTTCGTAATTTGTAGGTATGATTTTGATTAAAATCGGGGTGAGTCTTCACAAGGCGATGAAACAAGACAAGTTAGGATATTAAGAAAGCACCAAAATTGATCCTGGAATAGTAGAAGCGCTAGAAAGGGATTTCAGATCATTCCAAAAAATTATGGCAAAATATATAGGGTTTTGGTTATTATTAAGGCGTAGTCGTGGCGCTTTGGGAAAGTTTTCACGAAGGATAGATTTTAAAGTGAAATCAAAGAATCTCAATATGGAAGAATCAAGACCAGGATTTTGAAGGCATTGCATCTTCTTTTTAAGGACCATTAGTGAAATAAGATTTTGGTACAATATGTAGCGGATATAAATAAGTTGAAGAAACTCTTGCTTTTAAAGTGCTATCGGCAAATTTATCTAGGAACTATAAGGGATTCAGGCGATACAAAGATGTGCTAATGCTACTGGATTTATGGCAGAAAAGTACTGAGAGGTTTGGTGGAATATTAAAGGATCTTGGGATTGATGGAATATTCTGATAGTTTGAAGAGAATAAGGCGAAATTTGAAGGATTATATGGAATTTAAAACTGAGGGATTGAATAAAATAAATATTTTCTGGATGAAGGCGGTCATGAAGAGGTATTAATCGCACGTGGCCCATGCGCACATATATTATTTTATAGGTAAAGAGTTTGCTATTAAATTTTTATTATTCTCATTATAATTCTCATATTTTTGTATGACGCACTGCTAGAATTAGTTTTTCTCTTAAAAGAATCATTATTTTTCGTAATTTTATATAAATTGCTAAATTTTTAGGATGCCCGATCCTGATATATCGTTATTTCAAAAGCGCATTTTCCAATCGAAAGAAGTACTTTTCTAATTTTAATATTAAAAATTATAATCAAATCTTGCAAAAATAAGACCTGACAATAATTAAAACCTTCATAGAGACGGATATTATCGTTGAAGGAGAAATTCTGGCACACCTCTTGGTTTTTGGCGTCTCAAAACCCATCATATGCTTTCCTTTCAAATCCTGCTACATTCTTCAAATCCCTATAATTCTCTCTAAACATCTTCCGTTCTCAATGGAAAATAGAATTTAATCGGTGCAGTTTATTGAAGGAAAATATGTGTGTTGTACTAATTTTTTTTTAACTTCCCTCACCATTACTGGTGAGACTCGCTCCGCTGGCTTGTCGCACTAGACAAATATGCCAGGAAGTCTCTTGGCGATACAAGTACAGGTGAGCAAAATGTATGTTGTACTAATATAGCAAATTAATAATACTTTAGCATCCAATGCATTTTTATCGCACTGGGGATTCCAGGTATTTCTATTTCTGAATGACGAAAATGCGTCATTTTTAATATTCAGGAAAGCCTGTTATGCTTAAAAATACTTAGTGTTGTTAGATAATGATGACGTTAGTATTGAAAAAAGAATTCTTTAAAAAGTAATTTTATAGTTACCATATGTATCTAAAATTGTTGAAGTGGAATCAATGGTATCTGTAGAACCAAGTAGTATTCGGCGTTTTCATTCGTTTGATACATCTGATATGAACGTTTCGAACGATTTCCCAAGCATTTATGGAGGAAAAATGTTTCCTTTTAAAATTTTTCGTTTCAGTTTTTTTTCAATGACAATAACTTTCCATTATACGAAAATTTTAATAATTCTTTGCAAAAATCTTATTCAAAAACGATTTTTTAATTTTTGTACCTAATTTTACTTATCAGAATAAATTATACTAATAGAGGTCCTGAACATAATTTTTCCTACTATTTTGGTTTTCAAAAATTCTTTTTTTGATTTCAAAATCGCTTATCTCGTTCACAGTTCCATGCTGCTGGAGAAATTGGGGAGGAGAAATTGAGCGCATGCAATATTATTGAACTTCCTCTTATTAATGAAATGCATGTACAGAATGCATTTCGTGATAATAGGTTAATAAATTTTTTTAGATTTTTTTCATTTTTGTTTTTTCTCTGAATTTGTGAATTTATATTTGAAAATATTTTTGAATATTTAATTTTATCTTTTTTTATTTATTTGTTGTTTATTTTTTTATTTATTTGATTTTAATAATAATTTAATGAGAATTTTTAATGAGAATTTGAATATTTAATTTCCTTGTAAAAATTTTCAATTTTCCATTGCATTATAATTATTTTGAAAATTATTATAATTATAATTATGAATTATAATTATAATTATTATAAAAATTATTATAATTATATACCATTTATTTTGAAGGTCTTCGGAATTTTTTGATTATTTATAAATTTTGAGGTTTTTTGGTCGATTTAATTTGGTTTTTCAGGAAATATAAAGCTCAAAAAAGGAATTGCCTTGAAGTACGCGGATGCATCAAGATGAATTGTACCTCTTGTCATTTATCTTTTTTCTATAAGCCAGAAGTTCTTACGAAGCATATCTTGTGGCAGGATTACTCAAAACAAATATCTAAAGCTTATTTCATTTGTCCAATCTGTAAACATTTGTCGTTGATGAACAAATAAACTTATTTTTTCTTGCATTTTATATTCAAACATGTTTATCATTATTTTTCATATCGCGTTTTGATTTTATTTCGGCCATAGTCTTTCGAAATTTCATAGATTCGTTTTTATAATTTATTTTCAGTAAATGATAAAAGATTTTCAAGCATCTCTCTCGATTTTTGATAAGTGGAAATACCACTTTCTTGGTTTGAATTATATTTGAATTGTTTTTAATGGTCTTTGGAAATTTCGCAGTTTCATATAAAACCCTTATAAAACTTTTTTCAGTCAATTTTTTTTTTTACAGACGTGGTGTAGTGCGTATGAATCAGATTTTTGATGATAGAAATATCACCGTACGTAATCGCAGAGTTCAGAGAATACAACCAAAATCAGTAGATTCGTCACGAGGTATTTGTTGTAAATGATTTTTTTGCTGGTTTTCTATTTTTTATTGTAAATATAAAGGTTTTATAAGACAAATGTAGTCAATCAACTAATCCATTTGTTAATTATTCTTTTATTCTTTTATTATTTCCAATCATAAATGGCATCATTTTTTTAAGGTATTTCTAAGAACATTGGTGATAAAAATTTGCCTCAGTCTCAAGTCGTTGCTCAAAAATCATATCAACGTAAGCGCATTGGTCAAGAGGTCTGTTTTATTCTTTGCATTATTTTTTTTATAGTATTCTTTGTGGGGATAAAATTGCTCGGTGGATTGTTGCTCGATTTCCAACGCCGATGCTGAGATTCCCCCGCAGGAATAAACCTATACAAAAATCCTGGTGATGCTGGCGATTCACCTGCATTTCTATCGTCAAGGAACTCCTTGGCATATTGTCTGGTGAGGACTCTTTAAAAAAAAAAGTATTTTTTTGCGGCATTAATGATTATAATTATGATAATTGCATGCTTAAATTTCAGCTTAAATCGTTAGAATTATGAAAAAAAATTTTTTGTATAATTTTGGTTTTTTATTTTTAGGATCCACGAATATTAGGTGTGAAACGACAGAAAATTATGGGTGGAAATTCCACGAAAGAAAAATTACCGAATTTGCCAAAAATTCGTGAATCTAATGGTATAGAAAAGTTTAACTTGCAAAAGGCTCGATCGAGTAATAAAATGAAGAATAGAGAGGAAAATGGTTGCATAGCCCGAAAAGATTGCAAAACGAAGTATAGTAATCAAGAACTAAAAGGGCAATTAGCTAATATTGAAAAAAAACTAAATAGTACTGCGGAGGAACTTCAAGCTGCAGAACAAGAAATTACTGAGCTTCGTGCAGCCGTTTCCGTGCTTACGATCGATAATGAAAGGCTAACTGTAGAAAATATTGTGAGTTTGCGAAATACTTTAATATTTCGAATTTAAATTTTTTTTTAGATTTTCGTTAACGTATCGAGCATTTGCCATTTTTGATTAAGCTTGGCCTACTGGCCGTGATAATATGCGACAATTGTGTAGATATTGAAAATTGAAAATTTTTATCTTTTATGGTCATGGGCATTACATAAGTATTTGGAATGGGTCTTCCATATCATACGAATTTTTTAATTGCAATTTTATTCCTGTTGGACATATAAATTGGATTATGATGCTATTTTGCTATTTGATAACCTAAATTGCCCCAATTTTTTCTTTTGGATTCTTATTTCTCCCTTTTCCTCTTTTTGATAAAAGAATTCTGGATCATTTTTCTATGTATTCTGTCATCAGCTCGTCGATTTTTTTTTCAAATTATTATTAAAATTAAATTATTAAGATTTTTATCTGAAACCGTGGTTGTAGATGGCTATAATTTGCATAGACAGTATTTTTCATTAAATCATTTGATATTTTCATATTTTCTTAGTATATCTATACATTTCCTTTATTTATTTCCAGGCTTGTGTAGAGCGGATATCGAGCTTATTGGCTGATATTGAAGAAATTCGTACTGAGCATGGATTGTCCTTTCAATTGAAAGGGTCAGAAACCAGTTTGAATGAGAACATTTCGCAGCTTTTGGATGAAAATTTAGAACCCAGTGGTGATGAGGTTATTTATTTTCCATATTCTCAGTTCCTTGGTAAATTTATTTTTCATATTACTAGTTTTTCTTAAATTTGAGATTTCTAGGATAGTGGTCTCATTATTCAACGATTGACAGCGGAAAATGGATTGTTTCGAACAACTCTTGAGAAAATCAAAAATGATTTGAAAAGTCTTCAATTATCTTTCGACAAAATTTGTGAAGAAAAAGAACAATTGTTGCAAGAAAATATTAAATTGAAGGAGACGATGAAGGTACCTTTATTCATTTTTTGAATTTATAAAGAAGTACTTGGTGCATTTAAGGCTTTTTTCATTTATTCCATTTTTTAAAGGTTGAACGTGAAGATTGGGATCAATTGCAAGCAGATCTTCTTATCGCAGTTAAAGTAGCAAATGATTTCAAGACAGAAGCTCAACAAGAAATCTTAAAATTGTCAGACAAAATAAATGAATTACAAAAGCGACGACACAGCACGATTAGTCATCGTCTGACATTAACACCAGTTACAAATTTAGAAAATCAAAAATCTTGGGAGGATAAAGCTTGGCAGAATTTGATGAGTGGATTCGAAAAAGGTATTATTATTGCTTTTAATATTAAAAATAATAAATAATAAATTTCAATATTGGAGATGCTTTTTATGAAAATTTTTCTGTTTTTTTTTGCTAATCTGTTATTTTTCATCTTTTATAACAATCTTGTAGAAGAACGGAAATTATGTGTTTCTTTAATATAAATAGTTAAACAGGTTCTCGGCGTAATGCTTTACTTCATTGGGCGAAAAAAATAATCGCTAATCAGTATTCACAATTGGATGTCACTAACTTTAGTAGTGATTGGGCTGATGGACGAGCGCTTTGCTTTTTATTTTCGGCTTTTTTTCCAAAAAAAATTGATGCAAAAGTAGACTCTTATATTTTTTCAAAAAACACTGATAAATCCGATTGAAGTATTTCTTATTTTATAATTATCACATTATCAATTTCCATATGAAATGTTAAATGTCAAAGTTTTCATAGGTTGTTATACTTTTTTTATTTGTAATATCAAAGCCAATAATGAATAATTTTAGATTATTGGTAATTTAAATGCAGAAAAATGTGTCGAATTAGCTCTGAAAACTGGACAAGAAGTTGGCGTAAGCGTTAATTTGTCAGTACCAGATTTCGTTAGAGAAGATCGACCAGACTGGACCATCATTATGAAGTATATACTGAATGTTTACTATATTGTTTCAGATTTAGGCAAATATACCAATATGTGATAAACTGTAATTTTGGATTTTTTAAGAAGATTTTCAAAAAAGAAAAGACAAAATGAAGGAAAATTTCGTTATTGATTTCGTAGTCCTTTTTTTGCTATAATTGTGGTATTTTTTGAGAGAATGATTCATTTATCAGAGAGAAATTCGTAAAAAATTGAATTATACTTGAGATAACTTTTATTTTCTTTCCTCTGTTGATCTCCTTGTTACAAAATTCCATTAGCTTATTATTTTATTATTTGCCTTTCGAGAAGTGCTACCTAATTATTTTGTATCAAATTGTACCTCTTATAATTTTTGTGTATCTCATTCTATCAAAGTCTGCTCAAATATTTTATATTTTCTTTGATGATTTATTATTTTTTGATATTAAACATTTTGTCTGTAGTGATACCGCAATCATTAATTGATAATGCTATTTTAAAAATAAAAACAAAAATTTATTTATTTAAAATAGAAAGCGAGGTAACAGCTATACGTTGTATTTTTAGCAATATCACAAGGAAAATGAAAAAAGAAATGAATTTGCGCAATTCTCTGTGAATCCTCTATTAAGCTGAAGCCATTCCTGAAGAACACATCATTAAGAACGACAGATCTTGTGGATTAATAAGCCGCTTTGCTTTCCAAATGGATCTTTAGTACATACAATTATCCTATTTCTGCGATGGTGGATATCTCTGTCATAAACCTATCCATTTTGAAAGAAATAAGCAGCCCACATCAACGAATTTTTTGTCCTTTGCATAGTTTCTTCATCGAAGTGCATTAATAGCAATAAAATTGATTCAAGCTTGTGGAGATTAGATCTAAGCCTCCACATTTTTCACTTAGTTCGATTTTCACTGACTTAACTTTCCTAGGCTTTTATGCCATTTAATGAAAATTGAATTGGTCAATAAGTTATAAATAATTAATAGCGAGGAAATTTAATAAATAATGAACCGATATAAATCGAACAAAACCTGTTTGAATTCCTTTATTTCAGCAAATTATTCCAAGATGAATTTCAGTTCAAGTATTTCTCAGTTTTTGGCTAATCTTTATTAATTTTTATCTATTGATTTTGGCCATATAGTTCCAACTGTTTATGTAGATTTAGCAAAAGCTTTTAGGCTCTTCCCAAATAAACCAATAAAAACGATTTGATACGATTGGTAATTTTTAGTAGAGTTTTAGATGATCTAAATGAATGGGCCGTTATCCTGCATGAATAATGCATTATCGGAAACAGTAAATCCTCTATTAATGATAGATAAAATCTAATATTATCTCGATTCATAGAAGAATGAAACAGGGTTCATAAAATTTATAAAATTCTATTTGGTTATACGAATTAGAATAATAAGTACTACGGTACTTACTTGAATGTTGGTGTTATGAATTGAAATGATCAAAATAGCAGGAATATGTTAAGGTGAATAAATTAATTTATTAGCAGATGCGATATGCGATACCTAAGCATTTCTGGATGAGAATGATAAATGTCCTTATAAAAATGATAACTTATTTTCATCCAGTAATTCATTATATCTCAACAGGAATGATCATTCAGTTCAAGTTGTTTATTAAGATTTTTGCTGATTTAAAGTAATTTAAAGTAAATTTGTTTTCATTCATACTTTTGATATTATTTATCACCACGATTCAGTGATAAGCAGCATTGATAAAAACATTGCTTTTAAAATTTAAAATAGTGTTCGATTTAAAATATTTGAAATTTTTTGTCGCTTTTTTTTCGAATAAAGTAGATATTTATAATTATTATATATGTATTATTGTATTATATTACATTAATTATTGTATTATATTATGCAATTATAATTAAATACAATTACTGAGACGACCTTGATTTTATTTCATCATCACCTATCAATGCAACATTGAACGATTAACCATAAGCACTACCTAATGCAAGAAATTCAAAATGAATTTGATTTCAACTTGGCTAAAACACTAATCAACTAAAAGTTCGCATTGCTCCTGCCTAGGCTACTAAGAGGGAGGCAAAGCTTTTGGTCTGATGCCACAATCTGAAAGCAATTGAAGCTATCGTCCAGTCCACATCTTGAACTATCAATCCACAATATTGGCATAGTTTTTAGCGAAATCTGTAGGTGAATGTTTTTTGTGCTCAAAATAGTTGATGAAATTATGGTAATGTTTTGCAGTAATTTAAATATTTAATTACAAATATTTCAGACATGCATTTCCTGCTTCAGCTATTCTAGTGGAAATTGAATTTTACTTCATTTAGCAATGCCGTATGATGAAAATAATCTTTGAAACCTTATGACATTCATGGCAACGACACATTTTTTTTTCCGTAAAATTGATAATCATTTTCCGTACAATCATTTAATAAACAAAAATTTCAAATTGAAAAAAAAGATAAAACTGATCTATAAAGTTGATAAATGATCATTAGGCAATGATTATGAACCACAACAAGCCTAAGGGAATGAACAAAATAAGTTTTGAGATTTGATTGGGGTTCTATCTATCCTTAGGCTTTTTTAACCTCTATCGGTTCTATAATGAATCTTAAAATGAAATAATTATTTACCTCTATAATTACTATAATTATAATTATTACTATAATTACTAACTATAATTACTAACGTCGTTAACTAATGATCGATGGTTGATAATTCACACTGTTCTAAAAAAAATCTCTTTGAAAAATAATTTTCAAAAAATAAATATAAATGAAATAAACATCGATAAATTAAAAATTTTATTTGCCATATAAATAATATTCATATGCAATAGAAAGCGAGTAGTACCAAGCAAGACCTGGAATGGTATCTGAACTATATCTGATAAGATTGTAAATGTATAGGGGAAACAGCAATATGTGCAATTACGTGTTGAAAAAAGAAGTGTCTTTATTTACTCTCAGTTCATCAAATCGGCTTGGAAGCACCTTATCAACTGAGCTAATCTGATCAACAATGACTGATATGACCAACAATTATTAGTAGAAAAAAGAAACAAAAAAAAAACAAAAAAAATAAGAAAAATTATAAAACTTATAGATAATTTAATGATAATCGCAGTAAATTATCATAAATTTTTAGCCGAAATAAGTCAAAAATTCTATAAATTTATAACATCCTTGCAGTGCGACAAATGATCAACTGGTTTCATTGAATTAATTGTTTGACCTGTTTCACGCATCCAGTATTGATTCTTTTGCATCTTATGTTTCATTCATTAATTTATTATTGTCTTATTTTAATATATATTTTAGCTATTAATTATTTAATCAATCTCTTATATTTTAATTATTTTATTATTATTGAGGAATTTTTAAAAAATTCGAGTATTTTGTTACTGCACCTCGGCTTTGGCACTGCGACACTACAGTCGCATATTGTTATTGTTGCTGTGCCACATTGGCTATAAATCGTTCTATTCGTTGTTGTCTCCTTTTTCCTCTTTTGGTCCAAAGATGATTTGGTTGATTTTATTTGATTTGCAGAAAAATAGGTAGCAAAATTTGAATTTTTCGAGAAATTATTCACTTTTTTTTCCTTAGTTAACAATAATTAACATAAATTCATAAATTCGAGATTTGAGTTTAAATTTACATTTGCATATTTTAAATTTTTAAATTTATTGGATTTCTGATAGGGAGTTTTGTTTGTTTGCAACAGAACAAATTAACTGATAACTGATTAACGAGCATTTTGTCGTTCACAAATCATTTTTTTCACAAATACAGAGATGACAATCATAAATATCTGAGAAAAAGATAAGTTTAAAGAGAGAGATGATGAAGTGATTATCTCAAGTTTTCGGAAAGAATATGAATTTTTATAGATTATTAATATGATCGTTTTTTTTGATTCTTCAATTCACTGAACAGGTTCATATGATAATTTTGATAACGGATATTATGATATTTTGTAATGATAACGACAGTATATCTTGGTCTCCTTTTTGAGAAATGACTATCTAATAATTTCGCTCATCCAGTTATTAAAAAAATTATAAATGAAAATTCTAAATCCTTTAGAATATTTCATATTTTTTAGATATGAATATTTTAATCCAAAATTTTATTTTTTTGCCTGAAAGTATGAAAAAGTCTATAACAATTAATAATATCATCTATAAAAGTCTATAACTGATAACTGATAAGGTCTATATTATTGCCCATGCTTTAACTATTATCACTTAATTCGCTTAGAAGTAAATTCAATAAAGAAGTGTTTAACAACTGGCAGTATCGTGAGCATTTATAATTCATAAAGAGTTTTTTATTATCTTTTTTTTCAGCTTCAAATATTGCTGTTTATTTCGAAATTATAATAATAATTATAATTATTAAATGATTTTTATTTATAATTTAATTCATTTCAAGTAAATAAGCAAAGTAAATTTTCATAAATAAGAGACATATAATATTGAATTGTGGTGTCATTCTTGGGGTAGGGTTGGTGTGGAGCAACGGTCGCTTTGACCAATGTCGAGTGTCGTTGCTGCCCTACTCTTTGGCAGGCCGAGAACCTGTCATGCCGGTAATGGCAAACGACTGGGCTTCTTGTATATCCCGGGTGATATCTCCTGCCAGATACAGGCAGGAGGTATGGTGTGGAGGTGTGGAGGTGGAGGAGGATGGACTTTTTGAAGAAGGGAGGAAAACCGATTCAAATTAGCACCGTCTTGATCTCAATTGTCTACACCTGCTATTATTGCCAACCAATCTATGTGGCTTTACTCTTGTTTTACAGCAAATTCTGCGGTCATCTCTGATTCATTGGATTGTTGGTTCATTCGAAATATCAGCAAAGCGAGCTACTTAGACAATATATATATATATAATTAAAATATATAAAATATATAAATATACAATGGTACTTAATGGTTCAAAGGAACTTTGCTTGACATACCAGTGTTCGAATTTCAGCTGCCACCTATCCTTCAAGAAAGCTGGATGCTAACCTGAAATTATTCTCAATCTTAAGAGAGGAGTAAAAATTTTAACATTAGCC